GGCCGAGGCGGCGAGAGTCGAGCTTCAGAAGAAGGCGCAGGCACTGCAGGAGTGAGGGTACCTACGGCGCCACCACCAAGAAGAGGTGGGCGAGCTGCTGGGCCAGATCCAGGGACGCGGGGCCGCGCAGGTCGAGGCGCGCGACGCCCTCAAGTGCGACGTGACGTCGGCTCTGCGCGAGATCCGCGCCCAACTGGAAGGCCACGCGGTGCAGAGCACGCTGCAGTCGGAGGAGTGGTTCCGAGGTGCGCATGCGCATGGGGTCTAGGGCGGGGCGGGGCGCCCCCTGCTGTTCAGGCCTTAACCCGATGGGTGGTTTCACCGGGAGAGTTGGTCATCTCGGCTTGGAGTTTACTGTACAGGGAGGGAGCGCTGCTCGCTTCCCTTTGTAAAGGTGAATAGGGACGCTCTATTGAAGTGCTTTTCTTGTGGGATGCTCCCAACTCTGGTTTTCCTTTGGTTGCCCTCTTCCAAAGGTCTGTATTTGAACTATGGGTCCCCTCTCCTCTGCATGGTAAGTTAGGTGCCGAAACTAGGACCATTCTCCGATCAAGAAAAGAACAGGTTCCCTGGAGATCCAAAGTAGCGCTTTTTTTGTTTCTGGTCCACAGCACCTGCCTTTCCTGCCACCTCTGCAGAAGGGTCCCCATTCTTCCGACTCCTGCCGGCTCCTCCCCACTGCTCAGCACACAAGCTGCAGTGTGGAATGAAAGTCATTTTCACACCTTTTCTTCCTAGGGTGGGGTCATCGCTTTTGTGACTGAGGCAGTTTTCAAGCTCTTACTATCTCCCTTTCTTTCTCCCCGACCCCAAGCTGGAAATCTCCTAAACACGGGCTCCCCTCTTTCCAACTTAGTTCAGTCCTGAGTCAGCTAGAATGCAGCTGCCCAGGGGCTTCAGGGTGACTTTGACCAACACTGGGCCTCTGTGGTTTTCATTTCCTTTGGAGTTGTAGTCCCAGGTTAGACAACGAGTCATCTAGGGTTTTCCAGGCTCTCTCCTGAAACTGTAAAGCAGTGCATTGTTCTGGGGAGAGAATACAGAGGTTTCAGTGATTTTTTTTTTTTCAATCAAGTCCGTGATCCACAATAGGTGAGGAGCCTCGCCTTCATGGTTTCTAAGTCTTTGCCTTCACTAGCAGAAAAAGCCAAGAACGCTGGGATTTGGAATTCTCTGTTCCTTTTCCGTCTCTCTGCAGTGGCAGAACCATCCCTCCATCTCTGCAGCAAGGCTTCTCCCAGCGGGGACCTCTCTCTGCTCTTGGGTTCCCCCTCTACTCGGTGGACAGACCGTCTTGGGCCTCGTGACCCAACCAGATGGCTTCTCTCCACGAAGAGTCAGGTCATCATCTGGGGATTCAGGATTTTCATTTTCAGGCCACGCGTGCTAGTCTTCAGATCTCCACTGGCCACCAGAAGGTCTTCTGAGAACCAGCAGCCAGTTGCTGACAGGGGTCAGGGTGTGGCTGCCATTGACTCCGGCACTGTTGTGCTAGAGATGTGCAGCCAGGTGGACAAAGGGACAAAAGGGTTGGAATACTGGCATCGGCTCTGCAGTGACCTTAGACTCTACACAAAAGCCTGCAAGGCTACATGGTGACCTGACTGCTCACAGCTCCCATGTCTGCAAAAGTCACAAGCTTATTAACTTGTTAACCACATGCCTCCAGCTTCCAAGCTCAGACAAGAGTTCAGCCGCATGAACCATCATAGTTCACACATGAACCCCCAGCAGTACCAGTCCCTTGCTGGGGAGCTCAGGCGTTGGGACAGAAACAGGGGCTTCCTTTCCCTTGCTGAGTTTATGGATCCCAAGTTGCAAGAGACAGAATCTGATCTTTGGAGTTAGACATTAGATGTAAATCCTTTTCTGCCGCTCACTAGCTGAGTGGCTATGGGCAGAAGTCCCTTGCCTGTCTCTTAGTGTGGGTGAGTTAAGCATCCGGGATGGTGCCAGCCACCTAAGTAGGTCCTCCAATCATGTGCATCACCTTCTGGCTCGAGGCATTGGAACCCAAATCCAGGTGTGCTGACCCTGTCCCTGATCCTTCTTCCATACAGTGAGGCTGGATCGACTGTCAGAGGCAGCCAAGGTGAACACAGATGCCATTCGCTCAGCACAGGAAGAGATAACTGAGTACCGGCGCCAGATGCAGGCTAGGACCACAGAGCTGGAGGCCCTGAAAAGCACAAAGGATTCACTGGAGAGGCAACGTTCTGAGCTGGAGGACCGTCATCAAGCTGACATTGTGTCCTACCAGGTAGGGTCAGACTGCCTCGCCTGGGTGGGTCTTTGAGCAAGGATTTAGTGGTTAAGACGGTGGGCCTTGGAGTCAGACGTACCAGTACGTCATCATTGCGTAACTAATAGAGCCATCTGCTTGCCAGAGAATTCCTCGGTGGTGAAGATAAACACCTGCTTTGCAGAGCTGTAAAGGTTAAAGAGACAGATGAGCTTTGAAGTGCTCAGCAGGATCTTGGTCACAGTGGGCATTGGATAATAGTACCCAATGTCTGTGGGTAGTCTAGGGAAGGCCTGGGCGTATTTGTCCAATGAAAGACAACAGGAAAGAGAAAATACCACTTTCAAACCGCTTAGTATATCTGCAATATGTGGTGACTAGAGATATTCGGGAATAGACAAACAAAAAGGAGAAAATACAAAGCACATAATAATTCACTTAAAGCAGTGGCTACAGTGGGCCTGGAATGGAGGGAGAAGTTTCAACTTGTATTTAGTAAGCTTCTGTGTGTCGTCTGAGCCATCAGATCATCAGCACTAGCTATGCACCAAGCCCTGACTGTGGCAAATGCTTTAGCGGGCACTGGAGAAATAACAGGGAGAAAAAGCACATAAGATCCTGTTCCCACTGAGCGTTTGCTAACTTTACATGATCTGTAAAAATTCACTCGTTGTCCTACTGACCAGACCAGCATCCGATATGCTTCATCCCATACCCAAATTTTTGCTTCAGACTTTTCTGTGCCCACGAATGAGCACCCTGCAGCTCTGACGGTATGGGATTTTGTCCCCAGTGCGTCTGGCTGGGCAGAGCTGTTCTGAGTTTGCACAGCTGGTCCAATTTCCTGGCTGGTGGGTGACATAGTTGATCTCTCATCCCTAGGAGGCCATTCAGCAACTGTACACCGAGCTGAGGAACACCAAGTGGGAGATGGCGGCCCAGCTCCGCGAGTACCAGGACCTGCTCAATGTCAAGATGGCCCTGGATATCGAGATCGCTGCATATAGGTGAGCGGGGCCAGGAGCCTCTGCGCGGTGGAGAGCCCTATGTTCTGATGAGACGCTAAGCCTTAGGCAGCCTGCCTATTTTATATACAAGTCTTTTGTATTGTGATAAATATATAACATAAAATTTGTTAATTAGCCATTTAAAATACACAGATCAGGGCCGGAGATTTAGTTCAGTGGTTCTGCCGCCTGATATATAACATAAAATTTGTTAGTTAGCCATTTAAAATACACAGATCAGGGCCGGAGATTTAGTTCAGTGGTTCTGCCGCCTGCCTCGCAAGCTCAAGGACCTGAGTTCAACCCCTGGTATCCAAAAAAGAAAAAACAAAACAAAACAAAAAATACACAGTTCAGTGGTGTCAAATACATTTCCATTTTGTGTAACCCTCACCACCAGCTATATCCAGAACGGCTTTTTTCATCCCAAACTCAAACTCCATACCCCTTAAGCCATAACTCGCTATTCTTTTACTTTGGTCCCTGGTAACCACCATCTATTTTCTGAGAGGCAGAAATCATGAGATTGACTTCTTTTCATTCAGACAGTGACTGAGAGCTTTAACCTTGGCTAAATCCCAACCAGACAGAGGCTTGCATGGAGAAAGAGGTACTTCAATCGTCAGGGCCTTTAAGAAACTCTGGTTTGGGCCGGGGATTTAGCTCAGCGGTTCGGTGGCCTGCCTTGTAAGTACAAGGACCCGAGTTCAATCCCCGGTACCAAAAAAAAAAGAAAAAAAGAAAGAAACTCTGGCTTTTACAGTTTCTTAGCTCTGAGCATTTGTTTCTTAGGTAAATAAGATGGAGATGGTGGTAACAGTGTCTACATCATGGATTGTTGAGAGGGTAACTATTCACCTGCTAATCAGGTGACATAGGTAGCACTGGGTAATCACAGAGCACTCCATAAAGGGTGAGAAAGCTTGTGACCTAAAATGAGGCCTCTGAGCTCAGCAGGGGTGACCCCATCAGGTACCTAACCAGTTGCTATCTGGTAACTCTTAGCTTCCTGTCTCTTGGCTCTGCTCTATAATCTTGCTACTCAAAATGTGGCTCATGGGCTGGGTATTTAGCTCAGTGGAGAGGATTGCCATGAATTCTAGGCCAGCCTGGGCTATGTAGTAAGTTTAAGGCTAGCCTGAATTACAGAGCAAGAACCTGTATGCCAGGAATTTAGCTCAGTGGTTCCAGCACATGCCTCATCCCCAGTACCAAAAAAAAAAAGTAACAGGAGGAATTCAAATGGCAATATTCTAAGAGCTCTTAAACTAAACTTATGTGAAATTATTTGCTCCCAGCTCTCCCCCTGCCCCTTCTCTGCACAATGCTGCAGCCCCAGCCTCCCAGCTTTGAGTACTATTTTAGTTGTAATTTTTGTTAATGTAGGTCCTCTCACTTGACCATTCTTCAGTGGGGGAAAGTTGTCTTATTTCATAAACTGCAGCATTAGGTGCAAACAAGAGCAGCCCCCTTGGTGTACGGTTTGTGGGTAGTCACTGAAATGATCTGCTGAGTGACTTTCTCCAGTCTCCAAGTGCCTGCCACTGAGGCTGGCGCTTAAGGGTAGAATCCATGCTTAGCATGTGCAAGGCCCCACATTTAATCCCTAGCACCTAAATAAAGAAATTCAAAGTGTCTACCAGTAATTACAAAAGGTAATTAAAAGAAAAAGAAATGCCTGCTATTCATTTACATTCCTCCCTTCACCACTTCCTCCATTCACTCACTGCATGCCATGGAGTTTCAGAAAAATTTAGGAAAACCCAAAACCAAAAATTAACTCATCTGCTTTGAGTTAATAGTAATGTGCTCCGTTATCCTTCTACAGAAAACTCCTAGAAGGCGAAGAATATCGGATCGGCTTTGGCCCAACTCCTTTCTCTCTGTCAGAGGGACTCCCCAAAATTCCCTCCACACCCACTCACATAAAAGTCAAGAGTGAAGAGAAAATAAAGGTAGTAGAGAAGTCAGAAAAGGAAACTGTGATTGTGGAGGAACAGACAGAAGAGATCCAAGTGACTGAAGAAGTCACTGAGGAGGAGGAAAAAGAGGCCCAGAAGGAGGAAGAAGGAGGAGGAGAGGAAGAGGAAGCAGCGGCAAAGTCTCCCTCAGCAGAAGAGGCCGAATCCCCAGGAAAGGAAGTCAAGTCGCCTGTGAAAGAGGAGGCCAAATCACCAGATAAACTCAAGTCCCCAGTGAAGGAAGAGGCCAAGTCACCAGCTGAGGTCAAGTCTCTGGAGAAGGCCAAGTCACCAGCTGAGGTCAAGTCTCCAGAAAAAGCCAAGTCCCCTGTGAAGGAAGAGGCCAAGTCACCAGCTGAGGTCAAGTCTCCAGAAAAAGCCAAGTCCCCTGTGAAGGAAGAGGCCAAGTCACCATCTGAGGCCAAGTCTCCAGTAAAAGAAGAAGCAAAATCACCAGCTGAAGTCAAGTCTCCTGAAAAAGCCAAGTCACCAGTAAAGGAAGAGGCAAAATCACCAGTTGAGGTTAAGTCTTCTGAGAAGGCCAAGTCCCCAGTGAAGGAAGGAGTGAAGTCCCCTGAGAAGGCCAAATCACCAGTAAAGGAAGAGGCCAAGTCTCCAGGTGAGATGAAATCCCCTGAGAAGGCCAAGAGCCCAGTGAAGGAGGAGGCCAAGTCCCCTGCAGAGGCCAAGTCCCCAGAGAAGGCCAAATCCCCTGTGAAGGAAGAAGCAGAGTCGCCTGAGAAGGCCAAGACTCTTGATGTGAAGTCTCCAGAAGCCAAGACTCCAGTGAAGGAGGAAGCAAAGTCCCCTGCAGGCACCAAATCCCCTGAAAAAGCCAAAAGCCCTGTCAAGGAGGAGGCCAGGTTCCCAGAGAAGGTGGCATCTCCTGCAAAGGAGGATGCCAAGGCTCCTGAGAAGGAAGTCCCAAAGAAGGAAGAGGTGAAGTCCCCCGAGAAGGAGGAGAAGCCCCAGGAAGTGAAAACCAAAGAGCTCCCAAAGAAGGTGGAAGAAAAGGTTCCAGCCACACCAAAAAGTGAGGAGAAGGAGGACACCAAGAAAGGTGAAGCTCCCAAAAAGGAAGCTCCAAAGTCTGAGGCTGAGGAGAAGAAGGAGGCTGCTGTAGAAAAGCCCAAGGAATCCAAAGCTGAAGCCAAGAAGGAAGAGGCTGAAGATAAGAAAAAGGCAGTGACTCCAGAGAAGGAGGCTCCTGCCAAGGTAGAGGTAAAGGAGGAGGCTAAGCCCAAGGAGAAGACTGAGGTGGCCAAGAAGGAGACAGATGACGCCAAGGCCAAAGAACCCAGTAAGACAGTAGAAAAGGAGCCGGAAAAGCCAAAGAAGGACGAGACACCAGCAGCACCAGAAAATAAAGACACCAAAGAGGAGAAGGCCACAGAAGCCAGGAAGCCCGAGGAGAAACCTAAGGCCAAGGAAGATGACAAGAGCCTCTCAAAAGAGCCCAGCAAGCCCAAGACAGAGAAGGCTGAAAAATCCTCCAGCACAGACCAAAAAGACAGCAGGCTGTCAGAGAAGTCCACAGAGGACAAGGCCACCAAGGGCCAGAAGTAAGCAGAAGAGAGAGGAACATCCAGAGCAGCCAAGAAACTCAGGACGGTCCCGGAGTTCAAGAGTCAGTGTATGGAATTTTCATTTTTCTCCCTTTTCTTCCTGTAAGAAGAAACTCTGCTTTGATGTCGGGCCCTTGTTCACCAAACAGGAACTTCTATTAGCAATATGTTAGCCAGAGAGGGCACTCCCAGCCCCCCGGACCCGTGCCCCAAACCCTCCCCAGGCAATGGGCGATTCTGTTATGATAGCTACGCAGCCAAATGTGACGTGTGCCCAGTGCCACACGTAAACACTTGACTACAAAAACTGCCCCCTCCTTTCCAAGTAAGTGCATTTATTTCCTGTATGTACAACTGACAGACGACCGCAATAATGAATGAGCAGTTAAAAACACATTATGCTTAAGATGTCTTAACCTACTCCCGAATGCCTTCTGTTTTCCAAAGGAGCGGCTGAGCCCTGACCCAACGCTCTCTATCCTGGGAGAGTTGAAACAGGTGGGGCTGGGCACTGGCCACTTAAGTCACACCAGGGCGCACTTTCCACGGAGTCCACCTTCAATTGCTTCTGTGCAATAAAACCAAGTGCTTCTACAATGGAAATGTGGCTGCTGTTAGTTATTCTCTTCCCCCGGGCAGGCTGGGGTAGGGGCAAGGGAGGTCTAGATGTCACATACGTGTCCGCGAGGGGCTGAGCAAGGGTCATCAGAGTTCTCTTGTGGGTCTGGGACCAGTTACACGGCCGGTCCGGTGCTCTTTCCTGGGCACAAATGATATGCTAGGTAACGTGCTAGGTGCTTTATTTTTACCATCTGGGGTGTGGTTGCTCAGTGTGGTCCACGGGCACCTTGGTCCGTGTCACCAGGATGCCTTATAAACATGCGGACCTGTGGGCCCACCCTGGGCAGCTGATTCACAGTCGAGGCGGGAGGCCTGGGAAAGTGAGTGTTTGAGCTACTCACAGTCGATCCTAATAATGTACACCGCCGCTGGGGAGCAGTGAGGTCCAGGAGGACTTTGAATAGTCTGTAGGACTTCGAGTGATAGTGGGAAGAGGTTTATGCACATGGGCTATACATAGCTAATAAATTCGTCTGTACTGAAACCTACAACAACCACTTGATTGGGAACAGTTTACCAAAAGTCAACCTAATTGATCTCCAGTGTGCTGCCCTGGACATGATTTTGAAAACTGGTCCTCTTAAGAGATTTACATGAGGCTCTCTGTGAAATCCTTATGGAGTTTCTAATTATAGAACTGTCAAAAAAAACAAACATAGATTACGCATACAACTGTAACTTTGTTTTGTTTTTTGTTTTGGTTTTTTGAGACAGGGTCTCACTATGTAGTTGAGACTGACCTGGAACTCACTATGTAGCTCAGGCTGGTCTCGAACTCACAGCGATCCTCCTGCCTCAGCCTCCCGAGTGCTGGGATGACAGGTGTGCGCCACCACACCTGGCTGTCTGAGTAATCTAAAGCGTTTATAATAACATTTTTGAGATGTCCATGTTTTTATATTAATTTCCTCCAATCCACTTCAGCATTTATTCGAGGTAGATATTCTGATGCCTATTTTAGTGGTAAGAAAGCAGATGAGGTTAAAAAAATAAACTAAACAAAACAAAAACAATAGATGAAGTGATTACCTAGGACTCAACTAGTAAGTGGAATAGTCAGAATTTGAAGTCAGAGCTTAATTGCAGAGTCCTTATGTTTTCTGCAGTATCATGCCATCAAATCCTGGGCAAGCTGCTTTGGTATTTCATTGGCTTAGTTTTAGTCATCAAATAACTGCTATGTAAAGTGATAACTGTCCCAATTTGCCTGGAATAAAGGAGTTTCCTAGGACACAAGTCTTTTAGAGCTAAAACCAGAAATGTCTTTGTCAAATGGAGATGAATTGTAGCCCCTCCCTAAAACAGAGAGAGAGAGAGAGAGAGAGAGAGAGAGAGAGAGAAATGAACTCAGCAGCAACTATGGAAACTACCTAGCAGCAACTATGGAAACGACCTAGAAATCTACATTGATAAGTACATGAGGGCAAAAAATGGACAACTTCAAGGATATAAAGTCTTAGAAAATTCCTATAAAATACTGTTGAATATGATCCAAAAAATAATTACATAAACCATGTAGCTCAGTGGTAAATCATGGGTTAAGCATGCTTGAGGCCCAGGGTTCCATCCCCAGCTGCACAAAACAATTGTACAATCTAAAAACTACAAGAAATAGAAAACATCTAAAGGGGTAGGGGAAGTGGGAGAGATAGGGGAAAGGAAAGAAGGGAAAAGAAAAATTATGAGAAAAGGAAAAACATGGAAACAACGTCTTTGTAAATAGGGAAAGGTGGAGGGGGTGAAGGGAGGGCAGGGGAATGGGGAAAAATAGCCAAGATAATCATGTAAAGCTACAAGATCCTAATGATGAATGTACTGCATTGTATACCTAAACTGTACCAATAAACTTAATGGGAAAAAAAAAAAAAAAAGAAATCGAGGGCCAGGAATTTAGCTCAGGGGCGCCATGCCTGCCTAGCAAGCACAAGGTCCTGAGTTTGATCCCGATTACAAAGAAAGAAAGAAAGAAATGGAAACACTAGAACTACAGTAAATAGGACTACAACAAAGACCAGAGAAAGAACTCTTCAGGGTGATGACAGAGGGAAGTTAAAAGATAACAGTTGTGCAGCTCCTCCCCGGCCTGGAGTGGCTGTGCGGGAAGAGGGGATTTCCAAAGAAAAGCACTGAGCTGACAGATTGTTTGACATGATTGCCTACGTGTAAATCTGAGTCAGAAGGCTTTTACTGAGCTGTGGGAGACTGTGGGACAAGTCCACTTAGACAAACATGAGACATAATAAAAGCGAAGCAATTAACTGCAGGGCAGACAAAACAAGTGTGATAGGAAGTATAATTGTTAATTTTTAAAGCTTTTCCCTCAGTGTTTGGAATCAAATCTAGGGCCTCATTCACGCCGGGGAAGTGTTCTACCCCTGAGCCACATCCCCAGAGCAAGGAAGTATGATGATGATACATTAGATAAAAATGGTTTCACCACAGTAACAAAAACAGCAAGTGTGGATTATACCAAAAAGTAAGGTTAAATATACAGGATGGTTGGGGTAAGGGAAAGAGGGGTATAAATGGATCAAAGGCATTCATTTCTGCATGAGGCTTTGATCCTCAGTGCCACTTCGAAAGAAAAAGAGAGAGAGCCACCAGACGTCTAGGTGTGGTAGTGCACACCTGTAATCTCAGTGCTTGGGAGGCTGAGACAGGAAGATCACGGCGAGTTTGACAACATAAGGAGACCATGTCTCAAAACCAACCAACCAACAAACAGACAAACCACTCATCTGTCATAATAGAAACTCTGGGGAGAATGCTTGAACTTAATAAATTTAAAAATAAGTAGAGACCAGAGGAGACTGAAGAGACAGAAGACAAAAGTGACTGTGGTTTCCTGGACTGGATCCTGGAACATCAGTGAAAAGACCAGTGAACTCTAAAGAAAGGCTGTGATTCAGTTATTAATAACACACCAGCATCCATCTCTTAGTCTTGGCAAATGTGCAGCCATTGTAAGATGTCAGCACGAGGGGGAAGTAGGTGAGGGTATCCAGGACCTGTCCGTGCTACCTCTGCCACTTTTCAGTAAATCTAAAATTGTTTCAAACCGGGCGCGGTGGCGCACGCTTGTCATCTCAGCATTCAGGAGGCTGAGGCAGGAGGATCGCTGTGAGTTCAAGACCAGCCTGGGCTACATAGTGAGTTCCAGGTCAGTCTCAACTACATAGTGAGACCCTGTCTCAAAAAAAAAAAAAAAAAAAAAAAAAAAAAAA